AAAAAATTCTCCGGTCGGGCCGCAATGCATTATGGGATATGGAGGGCCGGGAAGGATCCATCGGACCTGTCCTTCAAATCACGGAAGAGGAAGGACGTATTTGTCGGCCGCATCGGAGGAGTCTTCGGTTTGGGACGTCCTTCATCGCGGCGCTGTGACGTATGCGGCCGACGAATTCGGCCTTCGGAGGACCCGTCCTGCTGTTTTGGACACAGCCTTAGTCTCACGTCTTCATCTGCTTCCAGCTGAAGACTGGTGGGACTGATACAAACCTGTAAAGCTGTTAGCAGACTTTGAGCTGGTAAACCCTAATTTAGCAGAAGCTAACTGGTACGTTAATGGTTTTCAAGGCGAGTTAAAAAGCTAATACGCTAAATGAAAACTTAGTTCTGCTTTTAGCTGTTTACTGAACCATACCCACCATTGCACAAACACAAAACACCATCATGAGTCACAACAATGTGTGTGTGTCTGCGCTCACATTGTTCTTCTGCAGGATCTGCAGAGCACGGTTGACATTGTTGAGCGAGTGAACACGAGTGAAGCCTTTCTCCAGTCTCACCTGCACACAAACAGACAGAGGAGGAAAACACAGACCTCACTCAGGGGCATCCTTGAGCTCTACAAAGAGTCGTATTACAATAAAAGTGAAAGTGTGTGTGTGTGTGTGTGTGTACCAGCTCGTGTCCTGTGAGTCCCTCCAGCAGCTCCAGCAGGCGGCGTCCATTACACAGATCAGAGAACAGATCCTCCACAGGTGTTTTCCCTGTCTGAAGACACAATCAGACACTTCACCACTCTGACATTTTCACACACTCTTCAAGATCAGATGTGTCGTCACGTGGCTGCAACAATCACAACCRTTATTAGCACTGCTCTAAAGATGTTTGCTTGTTCCGAACAAAAAGTAAAAGTTCAATCTGTACGCCTCGTGAGCGAAAACATCAGGCGAGCAGCGTTGAGCACAGGGAGGCGTCTACTAAAGTAATCACAAACCAGCCTTCCGTTAAATGCGGAGATAACAATTTATACCCAGGAGCTTGTTTTCTATCAGTGTTGACAGAGTCTGGGGTTCCAAAACCAGCAGCTGGTTCACATCGCGCCCCGCCGCAGGCTGAAGACAGCGTGAGGTTTCTTTTTCTGAGCGTTCACAGCTGAAGTGCCAGGGAAAAAGGAGGAGCTGTCAGGCTTTATCACAGAACAAAAGCTGGATCTTTTATTTATTTGTTCTATTAACAGATCTCACTGTCGCAGCTGAAACCTCTTTGGAGTCAAAACGTCA